AAAAAAAAAAAGACTACATAAACAGTGTACAATTGACTTTTGAACACCATAGGTTTGAACCTTGTTGGGTCCCCTTATATGTGGATGTTTTTTTGAGAAATACGGTACAATACTAGAAATGTATTTTCTATTCCCTAAGATTTTTCTAACAACATTTTCCTCTCTCTACCCTACTTCATTATAATAATACAATATATAATATGTATAACGTACAAAATATATGTTAATTGACTGTCTATGTTCTTGATAAGGCTTCCGGTCAACATTAGATTATTAGTAGTGAAGTTTTGGGGGAGTCAAAAGTTATATGTGAGCGTTCAGCTGCTTGGAATGGGGGTAATAGTGTCCCTCACCCCCCTGTTGTTTTAGCCAACTGTATATCTAACTGCTTTCAAAAGTCCCAAGGATTATACAAGTGAAATGGAGTCTAGCGGTGGAGGTGATGAGTTTCTTCTGGAACAGGCCAGACTATTTCAGAACAAAGGCTACCCTGGTACTGTGAGCAGACCTAGGAATCTCTGCTTTAGGCATGATTCCTTCCAAAACAAAATAAATCCTACTTTTTCTCGGACATCCTCTTCCATGGGGAATCCTGTAGATTCCGAGGACATAACCATCCTTGGTCACAACGTCATACTCTTCATAAGGATAACCCCAGTAGGAAATAATCTGGCTCTGAAAAGAGGGGACAAAAATAGACCCATTCATGATGTCATGTCTTGATAAACTGCAATGTGGTACTTTAAGTTATACAACTACTGTTCCATGACGTCCTGGGACAGAATGCAGCAGGAAAATCAGGATAACTTGAGGAGGGTTTTAGGAAGAGGTTGCATACAGAAGCATGGCAAGGCGAGGTAGGGTGACCGTACATCCTGGTTTGCCTGGCTTGGTATCATGAATGCACCCAGGGTTCACTCTCAAAATGTTTGCAAACGAATTATATGGTCATCTGATGAGGGAAACCATGGGGGATTGTGTGGTACCCTGTGGCTAGTTACGAGTGAGTTGTTCCCAACCACCCATGAAGGGAGGTGGGAGAAAGTGGTCACCAGGCCCAGAGTGAGATAGAGAGAAAAGGGCACATGGAGAGGAAGTATGGCCTTTGGCAGAAGGGCACAGCCCGCTTAGGGTGACCTCATGGAGGAATCCAGGGCAATAAATCATCTGATCTCACCCTCCTTCCGCCTTCTGATCTCCTGCTCAAGATCTCAGTCGGCTGAACTGAACTGAAAACCAAAGTCAAGGGAACTTGTTGCCTCAGTTCTTACAGGTCAGCTTCTTGGGCAGAGAGAAAGGTGTGAAGAAGACAGAGCGGACCCAGATAAAAGAAACGTCCCTCAGAGATACACACGCAGGAGGGGAAGTACCGTTTACTGGTCATCTTCCGCACAGAGCAGTTTATGTCCCCTGCTTTTTTAATCCTTACAACAGGTCTTTGAGACGGGATTATACCCATTTTACAGCTGAAAAAAGTGTCAGCAAGATGAGCAATCTACCTGAAACTGTACTCTAGGAAAAGCTAAGGACAAAAGGAAAGTCTGAGTAAGTTGAGCTCCAAAGCTCACGCCTTTACCACAGGATTCTGCATTTGCCCATGCAACGTGCACCAGAGGTGTGCATATATTATGGGACTATTTAAAACAGTGGTTATGAGCCTAGATTCTAGAGACAAACTGTACAGCGTCGAATTCCCACTCTTTCTCTTGTTAGCCAGGCAACTTTGGGCAAGTTATTTAACCTTTTTGTCTCAACTGTGAAATGAAAATAATACTAGTGTTTTTTCACAGATTTGTTCTGAGGGTTATACCTAAAATATCTAGAACAATGCCTGGCACGACATAAGTGCTCTATAGATGCTTATAATTCTTGTTATCTTTATAGAATAATTAAGAACCAAAAAGCACCCAGGCCAGGAAGGAAGAGAATGTGTGTGAATATGACAGGAAGAGGGAAATTTCGATTCGAGGACATATAGCCATGGACTGTGAGTTCAGCCATGTAGGAGGTTAGGGGCACCTGCTGGATAGTGTGGAGAGAGGAACACACAGGAGACAATAATTAGAAACTTTGACAATTTCATTCTTCTTAAAGTTCTAACACAAACTTGGCACTGGTGAGGACATCAATGGTGCATAAGGTATACAAGCTGTGGAGCATCCCATTGGAATGAAGCCCTAATGGTGGACATTGTCAGTCATTTGCCTCTTTTTCTTTTTCTCTCTTCCTTCCTTCCTTCCTTCCCTCCTTCCTTCCTTCCTTCCTTCCCTCCTTCCTCCCTCCTTCCTTCCTTTCTTTCCCTCCTTCCCCTTTTTCTTTCTTTCTTTCTTTCTTTCTTTCTTTCTTTCTTTCTTTCTTTCTTTCTTATATTCTTTGACTAGCACACTATTCCATTCCACTTTTGATATAAATTTAATATAAATTTCTGATATAAATACATTTTGATATAAAGGTCATCAGTATGAACTCTTGAGACTGCTCTTCGGGAAACCACCATCAGATGGTAGCTCAAGCCACCAGGAAAGGGAATATTACTGGCCCAACTTGGCTTGGGTCTTTCAAAGCTTAGATTAGCAACTTTCAGCTACTGGCTAACCACACCAGGGAAAGGGGAGGAAGCACAGATTTAGTCAATGTAGAACTGGTTGTAGACAAGCACATCGATAATATCTAAATTATTGTATATAAAATGATGATAAATTAATACTTCTTTATCTTAATGTTTTCTTCTTAATGAATGACTTACAATATTCATAGTAGCCTCAGGATTTGTGATGCCTCCTTTCTTGTGATAACCATGTATGGGTCCAAGAAGAAGCATCCAGTAGGCTGCTGCTAAAAGCTGCCACATTGTGGGGGCTCTGCCTGGGAAAAAAAATATTAACATATGTGTCATCAAACAGAATTCTGAAAGTGAAGTTTGCTAGAATCCTTCTATAATACTATTGCGGGAGAGCATGGGAACATGCTTCTAGGTTACACTTTACCAGGCAATAAACTTAATATTCAAGGCTCATTCCATGAAAAATCAGAAAGTATAAATTTTTACTAAGAAAGAAGGAAGGAAAGAAGGAAAAAAAGAAAGGAAGGAAGTCAACTTCAAGTAAGTCTCCAATAGGCAGCTGAACAAAAGAAGGGAATGTAGAATTTGCAGAAAGAGAAATATAATGGCCAATATATTAATAAAGCACACTTAATATCTCTAGTTATCAGATAACGTAATTCCTTTTCTTCTGATCAGGGGAGTGAGTGCTGGCATAAGCTTTATGGAGAGAAATTTATTAGCATGTCTTGCAAATTTAAAAATATTCACCGGGGCGCCTGAGTGGCTCGGTCGGTTAGGCATCCGACTTCGGCTCAGGTCACGATCTCACGGTCCGTGAGTTCGAGCCCCGCGTCAGGGTCTGTGCTGACAGCTCAGAGCCTGGAGCCTGTTTCGGATTCTGTGTCTCCCTCTCTCTCTGCCCCTCCCCTGTTCATGCTCTGTCTCTCTCTGTCTCGGAAATAAATAAACGTTAAAAAAAAAAATTTAAAAATATTCATGTCTTATTGCTTCTTGGCCTTTTGGCTAAGATCTGTTCTTTTCAGTGTAATATCTGATGCAACTTTTATCTGAGGACAATATATTAAATAGATTTTTGGAACTAGAAGAGGGAATAGGAGCTTGCTCCGTTCCCTCCATGCATCAACCTGGTATTGCTGTAAGTCCAGGAACGGTGCACCCCCTCGGGGGAACAAAAAAAAAAATTCGCATCTTTCACTCTGTAATTCTATCTCCATCAGTCTAGCCAAAGGAAAAACAATATATGTGTAATAATAAAAATATATATTATAAAATCGTTCCTGATTATATATCTTAATATAGTGAAATTTACCACATAAGAGATCGATAAAATAAATTATGGGTGAGAAAAAATGGATTTGTTCAGCCACCAAGTATGTTTATAAGTGTTATGTGAAATTTCTATTATATAATATTGAGAGAAAAGCGATGTAAATTGTGCATATATATATATATTTTTTTTTTTAATTTTTTTTTTTTTCAACTTTTATTTATTTTTGGGACAGAGAGAGACAGAGCGTGAACAGGGGAGGGGCAGAGAGAGAGAGGGAGACACAGAATCAGAAACAGGCTCCAGGCTCTGAGCCATCAGCCCAGAGCCCGACGCGGGGCTCGAACTCACGGACCGCGAGATCGTGACCTGGCTGAAGTCGGACGCTCAACCGACTGCGCCACCCAGGCGCCCCATGTGCATATATTTTGAAGCCCAGTGATAAAACAAATTATAAAGAGGGGAAAAAAAGAAAGAAAAAGAGAAACCCCTCATGATTGACCCCAAGACCTGACCTTTACTGCCCACCTGCATGTACCTGTCTATATTTGTCCACACTTTCCTAAAGTTCTTGTTTAAGAACTTACTTCTAAGCTTACATCTTAACTCAGGAAAAACCCATGATGGGCACAGCATCCCATGATGGAAACAGAAGCGACCCCTCAAGCAATAATGACTGCTGGAGGGAGAGCTGTGGTGGCCCAGACCACCCAGACCAGTTTGAACTCAACCCCTGACTCACACCTGCACAGAGGACCATGCTGTGACCAGCTGTTAACCTCTACCTCATTATAATACTAAAATCTCCACCCAAGGAGGAGCAGAAGACTCATTTACATAACATACAACCTGTGTATAAGCATGTTTCCTTAAGGTGCAAGTGTGACCTTATGCCTACCTCCATATTGGATGACGAGGCTCCTCTCTCTAAATATTCATCCTAACCCTACGTGAAAGGAGCCCATCCCATTGGGCATTCCCGGCTTTGGAAGTTATTCCCCGTGATCTCCTTATTTGCTGCCCATAAAGTTTATTTTGTGCGACCACATAGACCAGTCTCTACCTATGACTCACCAAGGAGTGAAGTCATGTGAGTTCAGTTACATAAGCACCAAATTTTAATTACGGTTATATTTAGATGGTGACTGTTTGGGTGATCACTTTCTCATTTCCTAGGACTTTCCATGCTTTGTAATTTTTTAATTTTATTTTTATTTTTTGAGAGAGAGAGAGAGAGCACGTGCACGCACACATCTGTGCGTGAGCAGGGGAGGGGCAGAGAGGGAGGAAGAGAGAGCATCTCAAGCAGGCTCCCCGCTCAGCTGGAGCCCAACACGGGGCTCAATCTCACGACCCTAAGATCATGACCTGAGCTGAAATCAAGAGTTGGATGCTCAGTCAACTGAGCCATCCAGGCTGGATGGAAATTCTGGAAACGATGGGGGAGAAAGATGATTATATTCCTCATTTGGCTTTGAAACCACCTAAGTTTATTTTTTTAACTAAAAAAAAAAATTTTTTTTTATTTTAGAGAGAGAGAGAGAGAGCACATGAGCAGAGGAGAGGGGCAGAGGGAGAGAAAGAGAATCTTAAGCAGGCTCCACACTCAGCACAGAGCCTGACATGGGGCCGGATCCCACGACAACGAGATCATCGCCTGAGCTGAAATCAAGACTCTGACACTTAACTGACTGATCCACCCAGCTGCCCTGAAACCACTTAAGTTTAAAAGCAACAAAATGAAGACAGATGGTAAGTCGCAGCCGGTAGGAAATGGAAGCATTTTTCAGAAGATGCCTTCAGTATTGTCATAGAAAATTCCATAAATCTCTCTCTTGGATTCATCAAGATCATAATCTCTGTTGAGTATATGTATGAATATAATTAATGTATAGTATAATTAATACGATTAATGTAGTAAATACATACTTTTATATCAACATAGCACATTTGTATGTAACTAATATTGATTAATAGAACTTAACTCTGGTTGATCACAATGGTAGTGTTAACACCACCAACAGTAACAATGATCACCATTGCAACTATTGAGAGCCGATTATGTGCCAAATTAGGTGTCAGACATATATGATCTCATTTCATTCTCAAAATTACCCCAAGAGATAAGAAATATCATCTCCACTTTATTTCAAATGAAATTGCGTCTCAGAGAGGTCAAGTCACGTGCCTGGGCTCAAACAGAGTGATGGCAGCAGAATCTGACTCTTGTTGCCAGACCGTGAAGGAAATTTGCCGACCATTTTGTGCCCTTGACCAACTGGTGGATGCGGAAAAGGTTTACAGGGCCCTCTGGCTACTAAGTGCCTGATTAGTATAGGCATCATGATTACCATTAAAAAAAACCCGCCCCAAACCCCACAGTGATAACTCTTAGAATCCACCCCAGCCAAAGTGAATGAGACTCTGTGGGGGTGTCCAGGGATCTGCATTTTCAGATTCCAAGTGATTCATATGTCTTCCAGTGAGTGAGAAACAGCTAGGTGGCTGGTTTCCTTGCGAACAGAAATGTTTTCCTTCTCATTTCTGTCTCTCCGGAGCTAGCACGGAGGGTCTCACAAACCGTGAGATTACAGCATGGAGGTTCTTATGAAGGCTTGTCAAATAAATAAATGGGTGAAAGACTGAATGAGTGCACGACTTAATCTTAAAGATGGCCCCATGCTGACTCACTATTTCGTCCACCAGGGAGCCCTCTTGCTCAGGTGTAGACACAACAGGGAGAACCGGAAACGGAGCTCCACACACGCTCTAACTAGAACCCATTGTACTTACTCTTTATCGCACTTCCCTGAGGCATTGACCAAGACGTTTTGCAAGAACATTCCAACCAGCAGACCAGAAAAGCCCTGATGGCAATAACGAAAGGCCTAGAAGACCACCCCCACAGGTGCCCTTCCCGGCCTGTGGCTACACCCCCCCATCCAAGACGGAGCACCCTGCCTCCTCTCCTGCACGTACCCCTCCCCCTGTCCCCAAACTCTCCCATGAAACCCTAGGTGTCCTTGCCACAGAGAGGTGGGTTGTTAAGACAGGAACCTGTCAC